ACGCAGCATGGCTGTGTCTGCAGGAAGTAGAATATGTGGCATGCTACTCATATCGCGTGTGTGTTCAATTGTCAGCAACTTCAAAATTGTGCTTTGCTCACTTCCGTTTTGTCTTCTTGTGGCACTTATTCGCTTAAACTAAAATTAAAAAATTAAAATTATATATTCTTATTAACTGTTATTGATCTGTATAATATATATAGGTTAACATATGTATATATTTATATTTTTGTGTTGTAATGTTGTATAATATATATGTTGTTTGGTATAATATGTCCAATTGTTATCTGGAGTGTGGTAACGAATATAATTTCCCTCTGGGATTATTAAATATTCTCGGTTCTGAAATTCTATCTGAACTGAACGCCAATCAGAGCATTTCTTTTAACCGATGGCCTCCCTGCCGCTGGAGGCTGCCAAAGGTGCCAAGTGATGGGCAACCATTGGCCTGGTGTTCAGGCCTTGAATTACTAACTGGATTGTTGCGCAAAACGGCGTGCATTTTAGTTAAGTGGGTTACGTAGAGACATGCACACAAAATTCCTTAGAAATGGTATGCTAGTTATACCCATCCCATGATACCACATCACTCAGCAAGTTTAAAAAGAATAATCTAAATTTGCCACAAAGAAAGATGTTATTGCATCAGAATAATTTTGAAAGATGCTAAACTTATGTAAATTTAAGAGGAAATCTTCCTCAACAAGCATTGAGTCCTAAGACAAATGAGGCGATGTGTTGCTGGCGATATTTCATAGAAGGAAAGACACACAGCTCTTGCCCGTGTGATAAGTAAGTGAAACGTTGTTCTCTAGCTAACTATGATAACTATCGCTATAATAGTCCGCCAGCAACAATCCGCCTCATTGTCAACATCCGTTACCGTTCACTTCTGTTGTAGGTCACTTCCGTTGTAGTTCACTTCCGTTGTAGTTCACTTCCCGTTGTAAGTCACTTCCGTTGTAGTTCACTTCCGTTGTAGTTCACTTCCGTTGTGGCTTTTGTATTTGTGTTGTGGCTTTTGTATTTGTGTTGTGGCTTTTGTATTTGTGTTGTGACTTTTGTATTTGTGTTGTGGCTTTTGTATTTGTGTTCTGGCCTTTGTATTTGGCCTGACACCTCTGGGTCACCGTAGGATTAGGGTTGAAATCATGTACTGAACCAAAAGTCAATCCCCAAGAAGAGAACAGCTCCTATCAGCATGGACAGTACAGTATATGTTTAGTGTATTCTCACAAAGCTGGGGAATTGATAGCATGGCTCTTGGTGTTGTTAATTGGTCCACTAATTGGACCAATTCATTAGTGTAGAATGCAGGGGGAGAAACCACAGCCAGGCATGGGAACACTCACTCACTGAAGGCTCCACACTAAATATATTCTCCCCTGTCTCCAGTCTACCATATTTAATGTGACACTAGCACTTTATTGCAGATATAAACAAAATGGCCCAGGGGAATTATGCTGCAGCTTCTATGCATAGTCTGTTACCGCAGATATGATATGAGAAAGACTCAGCCAAAGAGAGCTGTTTTTTTTTCCTTCTTTTTTTTTTTAAGTAGTGCATAAAGTAGGTCATGAATTTCAAAAGTGCAGATTACCATTTCCACACTCAATCCCATTAATCAACACTTCCGCCATCGAGTACCACCAGAGAAAACAATGAATAAGAGCATGTTACTTTGGAATTAATCTATTAATCAAATGGCACATGAAGAAGTACCTGCGACACAGCATCGGTGGTGGGACAGCATCCAGGGGGTTGTGGTAATGAACAAAATGCACCCCCCCCTTATCTTGGAAACACTGGCAGGTTGAGCTGCACTGTAAAGGAGTGGAGGTTTTATTAAGGATAAGGATTGTGACCGAAAATAGAGACTCACTATCACACTGCAAGAAATTAAGAAGTAAAAAGTGGTGCTATGTGGAATCGGTTTATGAGGTGTGTAGTTCCCATGTGGTCCTAGACAAAATAGAGAAATATTTTATTATATTTAACCCAAATTGGAGTTGATTTAAGAATA